TAGGATCGATAGAGATCTACACTCGATGACTCTTTCACCAGAGATGTTTCATCACTTCTCTTCTGCAATAAATGTTTGTTTTCGAGAGCTAAAACAACTGTCTCGACTTGAAGTTTCCACACCATGAGCTTTCGTAATAATCATTGCAACATCTCTGACATAATCACCAGAGAGTTTTAGATGTGATCTAAAGGTGTTCCATCAGTTGGAATACAGTAATTCCTGTTAGTTCTTCAGGTAGCATGATCTGAAGGGTTTGGTGGAAGAGGAAGATTATGTACTAGGAAGTACTAAAGCTGAAGATGGAGAAAAACTCTTCCGGTAACCTTGGGTTGCCCATAAACTCAAAAAGTTCACCAACCATCCCTTGTTCCTGGTGTTCAACACCTGCATAATAGACCTTCTCGATCCAACTCAAGTTTGGAGAAACTCGAGTTTGACTTGCATGACCAAACGATGTCGTCTATCGCAGTTTTTTCTGGCACATTTCCTTCTCATGTTCCGTGAATGAGAACAGGAGGACTTTGCATTCTTCCCTCCTCCAAACAAAGAAAGGATCTCAAGGAAGAGACGACAAGAAGTCGGCTTTTGGGAGATACAAGTACTGTTTCCAGCCAAATCACAAGCTGAGACCCATCGGATTTGAAACAGCAGGGTGAGTGGTCTTATGATATGTTTGTGTTTATATCATGGTTGGCGATGGTAACGACTGGTTACACCTACCAGCTTGAGAACATGACAGAAAAGCTTCGTCTCCATGCTGTGACTTTTCCTTGATCTATAATTATGTGACTGATATCTACCATTGCGGACTCTCCTGTGAGACCACATGCCCACCAAGGAAGACTCGGGCTGAGAACGGTAGCTGAGGTGGTGTGCATCAACGAGAGACTTGGTGGCGCAGTGAAGAACACTCCTTTGCATGGCTGATGTGGTTCAAAATGCTTGCCATGGAGACGGTGTCCCAACTCCCACCGCTAACCTGCAAATGCCTCGATCAACATTAAATGGTCATGAGACGTGAGTGAGTTTCTCTTCTGCCAAGAGCCGCATGAACAATTTGATACTTCCAAGTCATAAGTATGATTAGACCATGCCTAGTGAACAAAGATAAATAAAGATTTAAGTCTCCAGCAATACACAATCTTGGATTTTTATTTTTAGCTTCATCAGTATAGGAGAAATAATGAATCGATAAAACCATATTATTAGACTCAACAACCGAGGCATCATTGTTTATGTTTATGATCAAAATCATGTCTCCAGCAATACACCATATCGCTACTATGGACCCCATGGCACTCCATTGTAAACTCAAGATGGAGCTTATTTTCTTCTCTCCCTCATCATCTCTCTGTTTTTATCAATCAACACATCTTCCAGCCTCTCCTTCCCCTTCTCCTTCTCGCAAGTGTCGAGGCATCAAATTGCAAGTGCAACAAGTATTAGTGTCAAAAGAGCAGAGGCATCATTGTCTTTTGACCTTAAATTAAGAGAGCAAATTTCTCAACACCAAGCATGAGAACTCATTGTTCCATACCTCTAATTTCTAAGCATGATTCTGAATGCAAAAGAAAAACAAAAAGATTATGTTACTGTAAATGCCAGAACAGTATTGCTAATCAAGGCAACTGATCATTAGATCATATAATATACTTGAAAGTATCAAAGAGTAGCTAAAAGATGCCCAGCATGTATCCATTAGAAGTACAGCATATAGACCTCTTCAGTAGAATTTCTGAAAGACTTAAAATGATACAAGGGTAGACAAGCCCAGCATGTCATAGCTCAAGGCAAAACCTCCAGGCTAACTGTAAATGATGCCCATAGACGTAAAAAGACACTTACGATAACCTCTGTTTCTTTTTCTTGGCAAGATTTTCAAAAACTCCCTTTATATCCTCTGATGTAACAGGCTTTGACTGATCAAAAGATTCCTGCAAGAACAAAAACATAAGATTCATGAAGCTAGTGAAAAATGAAATTGATAGATTAATGTTTCATTTGATTAATGAGGGAAAAAAGTATAGAACACAAGCACTTTAACCTTGCAAATTGCATGCCAACATGATTTATGAAATTGGCAACTGAACATGCAACATGAAAGCAGAAGTAACCAACTTTGGACTTTACATACGGGCAATAAAGATGAGCTTATCTGATTTAGTTGGATTACAGCAGATGCACAAAATTAATCTGAGAAAAAAACTTCAGAAGTTCAAATAAAACTTGCTCTATCATTGTGAACAATGCAACTCTTTTGCAGAGTTATGTGGCTTCCATGGACCATATTGCATCTAAGATTACTATTTTTTACCAGAAAATCAATAGTTCAAATAGAATGGGCAGATAAAGAGAATTCAAACATCAAATACGGAGCATATAATCTTTACCAGAAAAGTGCGAAATTCATTCTTCATGTCAGCAATGCCACTCAAGATTTCTATTTTTTGGACATGATTCAAAGTATTGAGAAAGTTCAATTCAGCTCCTTCCTGTTGCTTCAACTTTTCCTCCCTCTTTGACTTGGCCATCTTCTCATATGCCTCAATTGTGTCCTCCTTGTCAGTTAAATATTCTATACCATTACGTGTATAGAACTCGTAACAAGTTCCACATTTGCAAAGAAGCTCTCTCCATTTCTTTGAAAGAAACATGGGTTCCATCTTTTCCAAAAGAACAGAAGATACGTTAATGTCCACACCAATAATGCATTTGGCACTTAATTCTTGATTTTCAGGGCATGGTTTGGTATCCTCTGAACTGACATTTATTTCTGTACCTTCGTCACAAACAGATTCCTCCTTGGTAGACACAGATTCTGGCTTCGAGCCAGAGCTTGAAGAGTGTCCCAGAATCTCAGCAACAGGCACGTTATCTTCATTTTTATCAGGATACCTAGAATCCAATGATCCATTATCCACCACATTCTCAGCATTGCTTACTGAAGGAGCATTATTTTGCTTTGACGTGGCCCAAATATAAGCAGGATAAAGTTTCAGGAAAGAACAAGTGATGGCACACTGTTGACAGATAAAATCCTCATACAAAGGTTCTCCATCCTCATCTCTTGGAATCTGTTATGCAATAAGTATTTTGCACAAAAAAGTGTTAAGGCATTGTAGACAAACCAAAATAATTCTTCAAATGCTGTAAATGTGGCAAAATCACGAAAAAAAGTTATTCACTACTGTTTCCCAAAGAGATATGATGCTGGATCTAGCTTATTTTTGATGATGTGAATGATTTCAGGATTTCATTTAACCAGCTTGACATGAACTTACTAAATTTTGACAGAAAAGAGTGTACTATAGACAACCTCATCAGAAGAGTTGAGACCTAGGTGATTCTCATGAAACCAGTCTTCACATATGCAACACTGTATCATTTCAATTTGCTCTTTTGCATCTGGATCAGGATAAGGGCGACCACATGTGCAGTAAGAACCTCTGAAGTTATGGTTGTAAGAATTCTCAGAGTTTTCAGTCTCTTTATCAGGACAAAGCTTGCATAAAACCCCTCCAAACTTTGAGTTGCCACAATCACAGCAAAACTTCCTTTTAGTCCACAGTTCCACAACCTTTTGAAGAAAACCAATCACGGAGAAAATCAGTGATAAGAAAAAATTGCATAAATAAAAATAAGTGAAACATTGAGAACACATATACTGGTTTGCACAGAAACAGCAACAGTGTTCACCTAAGACTAGCACCCATAGCAGAGGCTATAACTTTTATATTTTAATGAACTCTCAAAGCTGCTACCTATGCACTTTTTCTATAGATCAGAAAAATGATGCATGGCAGAACAGAGTCTAGGTCATCACCAATAAACGCACTGATAGGTACAGACCTTATCATGTGCAAATATGTAAATTATGGTATATTTAAGTTTAGCATCACAAAATCAAATACACTCAAATGGAAAAGCACTTGATCAACAGTACAATTTACCAGTTCTGTGACAAGATTACTGATACAGATTATAAGAACAAGGTGAATTGGAGAAACAACAAACTGTGATGTCCCGACTACTTGGAGCCAGCTACATGAATATCTACCGACCATAAGAATTATTTAGGACACTGGCACTAATCAAACTGAGAACAATCATATCTGTTTTAATTGTTTCTAATAAAATCTCAAATTTCTCCACCAGCCTCTCCTCACACCAATACTTATAATACGCTTACCTCTAATACCCGAGGCATTAATTGGTGTTTTTGGAAGATCAATGGAAGCAATTATTCTGAAAAGGGAGAAAAATAAACTCAATGGCATATATAGATCCCTGCTTCCATGAAAGAACACTCAGCCTAAAAACACTACAACTAAATATGTAGTCACAGAAGCAAACCATAGAAACCAGCATCAAGCTTCTTAATTGCTTATTTTATTGTATTTCATTTACTTCAAGGAGAAACTGATAGGATTTAATACAAGTAAAAACAAATTGTGTTTACAACTGGCACGAGAACATCTAGAGTTAAAAAAGAACAATAGGAAGAAAAACATTACAGAATTTTGTTTCATAGATGGAAAGGTTTCACCTCATAACGATGCTCATGAAATGGAATCCAACTTCTTCTGGTTTATAGAAAAATCATGTCAGATGAATCCATAATAGCTGATTTGTCAATGGAGATGCTGGCATGCCTTTGCCTGGAAGCTCCAAGCGCTGGACATGGCTGATACTTGATTCAAGTTGGAATGGATTTCCTAGGAAGTGCATGTCTGCAGTAACTACAAGACTTACTTCTGGCTTGGTTATTTTTGCTAATTGTTTGCTAAATTCTTTTTATTGATATAGTAGTTGTTTAGGGTTGGTCCTATAATTGATGTTTTATGAATACAATTGTACAGCTTGTAAAAATTTGATAAATAATAAAGTCTTACTTATTCGGTCAAAATGATCTTTATGGTATATTTCTCATGGTTCTCACATGGACTACAATAGAATAAGGTCTATTGAAGCAAATACATCAGGTTTAGAAAGAATGAAAAAAAGAAACTTACAGATAATTGACACCACAAAATCAATAACTTTAGGTATAAGATAAGCAGACAATATGAATTGAATTCAAGATATCCTATAAATAGTGAAATCTTAGGATGCTGTGGTCCAAGACAGGTCCCTAGCAGCAAAGATAAAAAATGAAACCTAAAAGATTATCAAGCAAAAATAACAGCACATTGGATGGAGCTTTTGCAGTAAGTGATTGCAAATGATTTTGTCCATGACAAGGTTAACCAGCACATGCACAGATTAGATTATCCACCATTCAACGTACACACACTATAAACGAGGAGAAATCCACAATAAAAAAGGTTCTTCAGAATTAAACTACAAGAGACTACAACACCTAATTTATACTATTTCTAGTGTGTATTAATGTATATACTTTCTTGTTAATTGAAATCAGATAAATCATATAAGCAGTCTTCATGTAAGAGCTTCAAGCACATCTATAATTCACAGAATGTTCTCATCGGAGATTCATGAAACAAATGTAGAAGAAGAACCTGATGAAAATGTAATCTTTAGACATACTTTTATAAAATCAACCCATTGATGAAGGAAATCGGTTATAAATGAACAGAATCGACCACTGATCACCACCCGAAGAGGCGACGTCGCCTACCTCATGGCCGTCATGGCAGGAGAGACTGCACGCCGTGCAGACACCAGCGGTCCCACCGGGAACGCACGTCAAGCACGAGAATATGGCCTGCCTCTTCATGTACCCACGCGGATACGTGCACTCCTTGCCCTCATCGCCTCCCAGAACCAGATCGGCTTCCTAGGGTTTCAAATCAAACCAGGAACGTCACCAATTTCTTCAAAAAAGCCCCAAATTCCACTCACGAAGGAAAATAGAACGGGGTTTTCAAGAGCGAAGCATACCAGCTCCTCCGCCTCGAGCTCTTCGATGTACTCGTCGATCGTCACCGTCTGCTCCGCCTCATCCTCGAAAGCGTCCGCCATTCCGAGCCCGGATCGAGGAACCCTAGATTCGGGTGGGCTTGAGTTAGGGTTAGGGTTTCTTGCGAGTGGAAGGGCACCGAAAGGATCGAGATCGAGACACGGAGAGGAGAGGACAGGAGAGGAGAGGACGGGAAGAGCGCGAGGGTTCTTTTCGTAACAGTGCGAGGAGACGCATAATATGCAGAAGAGTGGCGGCGGTCCGCAAGCTTTATTTGCTTCCCGCCCAATGAATTTTCACTTTTTTTATTGTTTTTTAAGCAAGAGGAAGACTTCTGCAAGAGAGTGGAGAGAATGGATGAGATTTAGTGCAAAGGATTAATTTCGCAATTGGATCATGCAACGCATGAAGAATTTTAGAAAGGGAATAGAAAGAGAAGAAATAACATAAAAGATAATAATAATTAATCTAAGAATATTCTGAAATAACATGGTATGAATTTTTTTTAAGAAAGCAATATTTCTAATTTGATTTGAAAACTAACTCGGGCACTCATCTTGGGTCAAGATTTACAATCTTCAATAAAAAAATGAATCTAATTGAATAGATATTATCATGTTATATATAATATTATTATATAATGTAAAATAATCTAAACTAATCAAATTTATTTTATTAATAACTATCTAAATTACTCTTCAAGTATATTTCACAATGAGAACATACATTATTATATTTGAATTCATTTATCCATCCATTAACTCATCTAACAAATTTAAGCAATGTATTTGATACATAATGATAGAACTAATTAAGCATGATTTGTTCAATTTAATAAAAGTATGAGACCAAAGATAATTAAATTAAAAAAAAGTGGGATGAAGAATAAAATCTCAACCCTTTAATGATGACTACGAATATCTGAATGCAGTAGAGGAGTAGCTTTATGTTCCAATACTTTCTTAAAGCAAATGTCATTGTAGTAGTAGTAAAGGAGAGGGATAAGTCAAAACAACCTTTTTCTTCTCCTTCTTTTACCTGTCATAACATAAAATATCATGTTGAATATGGGCATACACAGAATTCAAGTCCATTGGATCAATTGAAGGAGGAAATTAATTAAAGATCCAATTATGACCTCAAGTACAACCTCCTCTTGCAGCAACTGGTAAGCTTAGAGTCCCTCATTCATGCAGCAGACCCAAGTTGCATGATGATCTAAAAAAGATGGCTATAAAGTCCTTCAAGTCCTGGAATTCTGCCAGTGGGAAGGAACAACTTGTGACCTTTGTGATCTTAGTCAGAGAGAGAGAGAAAGAGGGAGAGCGACTCACTTGTTGCAATCAATGGAGGAGGAGAAGGTGGAAGTTGAGATGCACCCCACCACTAGTATGGGAGATTTGAGACAGGGAGGTAGTTGATCCCTGGGAAGAGGCACAGTGACTTGGATTGCTTTAAGTTTTAGAACCTGAAAAGCAATTATTAAGCAGCTCCACTTGACCAAACAAAAACAAAAATACAAAATAAAACCAAGTTCAGAATAAAGAAAGACCATAAGCAACTTAGTTCTCCTTCGGAGATGTTGATGTTTAAAGAGTAGTAAGTAATGGAAGGTAGAAAGTTCCATGAACAAATGGAAATATAATTGCTATTTTTGCATGACGAATAAGACATTTCGAGAAATTCCAGCAACAACCAACCAGTTGATAGAACTCCATAAAAGCCATAGCATTCGGTGATGTAAATTCTGATGATATATGCCAGTTTGGCTGCATGAACTACTCATGTAGCCTGCCATATAAATAGGAATGCTGCTTGACTGAAGTTAGCAGTAAGGCTCCTCTTAGACTTTATGAGGTGGTTTTGCCCTTTGTTTTGGAGCACAAACAATCTACCAGATCTGTGGGTTATAAATGAGATCAACCATCTCCAACTATCGACCTATATATGTGGTATATTGAGCAACAGCTGATATCACCAATGTACGACTTTACTACTAATGCTGGGAGAGCCAGAATACTAGTAGTAGATTTTACCAAAAAGGTGAAAATGGAAAAACAGATGTTTGTTTCTCTAAGATTTCTTTTCACCGGACTAAAAGAGAGCATGATCCAACAGCAACATCAGCCAAGTATTCTTCAACTGAAACGATACATGTAAGCACCGACGAATTTTCTCCCTTAACATAAATTAAATTATCATAAATAATTTGATACTTTATTTAAATTATTAACTTCTTTATTTGTATAGTATGATTATAAATAATTAAAATTAATTTTTGATCATATGGATAAATTAAAATATTTATCAATCAATTAAATTATATGAATAATCTAATGATTGATATGATATTTTGAAAGTAAATATATGAATAATACGAAATAAATATTATAATTCTATCTTTGTGAGTGAAATTAAAATAAAAATAAACTAAAAATAAAAATTAAATCACTGTTTATCTTTTGAGGAAAGCTCATCTTCTCAAGGGGGTTCTCCTTTTCTTTATTCCTTACCGAGTTTGACAAAGAGAAGATTGAGGAGAGAATTCCGAAACACAAGGATACTCGAGGAGAAGTATGATCATCTATTCTTTTCTTACCAGTTTTTATTCGTATTTTGAAATCTATTATATTAGAATTGTTATAATTTATTTGATACATAATAATATTTTAATTTTAAATTTTATGATTAATAAATAATTATCATTGAATTGTGATGTTAAAATGATTAGTTAATTTAATAAAAGTTCTAATTCATTTAATTAAGCATATTTACACTTCAAGAAATTATGTGTGAATTTTTACGATTTAATTAGTTTTAAATTTGGAATCATGAATCCAAATTAGTTAATTCATGAAAAAAAAAATGGATATAAGGTTAATTGTATTTTATAATATTTTAAAGTGCTTATGAAAATAATACAATTTAATTTTAAAAGAGGGGTCAAATTAGGGTTTGACTTAAATTAAGTTTGTTAGCCAAATCAGCCTATATGACTAAGCATGACCCATCCCATATGGCTAGACATGGTCCAACCCATGTGGTCAGATACAACCCAACTCATGTGGCAAGACATGACCTAGCTCATGTGGCTAGGTATAACCTAACACATATGGTCAAGCATAGCCCAACTCATGTGGTCAGGTATGGTCCAACCCATGTGGTTAGACATGACTCAGCCCATGTGGCTAAATACGATCCAGCCCATGTGACTAGGTACAGCTCAACTCATGTGGCCAAGCATGACTCAACCCATGTGGCCAAGTATAGTCCAACTCATGTGGCCACACATAACCAAACTCATGTAGCCATGTACGATGCAACCTATGTGACAAAGCATGACCCAACTTATATGTCCAACCATGGTCTAGCTCATGTGGCTTAGCATGACCCAGCACATGTGGTCAGACATGGCCCAACCCATGTGGCTAGGCACGACTTAACCTGTCAATCAAACATGACTCAATTCAATGGTAAGGTTCAGCCTAACCCATGAAACTAAGCCCGCCCAACTATACAACTAGCGTTATACACATTATCACCCCTCCATTCAACCCGTTATACCTTAACTCAACTTGCTACTTAGGATAGGCATGTGTGGCGCACATGACCCGTCTAATTTTTAGGTGGGTCGGTTTGGTCTGGGCTAGCACTATATGACATAGTCTAATTTTTTTCTCCCTTTATTAGTTTGACCTCGTTAGTTGACTGAATTAGATATGTTTGATCGGTTCAAGCCGGTTTAGGGGTGTTCCGCACCAACTTGACTGGTTCAAGCCCACTTGACCTAGTTGAAACCAATCATATCCAAATTAGACCAGTCTATGGTGATTTAAGACCAGTTCTATAAGGATTTGAGTTTAATTCTATTAGTTTCTAATTGAATTGAGTTTGATTTAAGTTAATTGGGTCATTCCAATTAGGGTATCGATTGATTGAGAACTATTGAGAGTCTAATCCCTCGTATCTTTATGATTTGATGAACTTAAAAGTTTTATCTGAAGGTGTTACTGGACAATGATTAGTGATTTTCTCCTATTTTTTAGATTCAATTGATATCATTGTTACCATGTAGTATATGTGACTATACTGAGTGGTCAACATTTGAAGTGCAACCTGTGAAAGGAGCTATAGATCCATCACGGTAAAAAACCATTAATGAACATAGTCTAGTAAGTCATACATCAAATATGGTTTATCATAATATTTTATCATACTACTTATTGGATGCATGCATGAATGATCATGGTTGACGATGTATCTCTATTAAGGGCAAGTAGAGTAATTCCCTTCGGGGATTAGCGAGCCATCAAATATAACGATTAGATAGTTCCTCCATCCGCTATTTGGAGTAATATTTTCCTACTTGGGCAAGTGAGGGATATAACTTCATCCACTATTGGGTGTACGATATGAGTTTTCTTTATCTGTTATTGGGAAGAATCCATCATGTAAAATATGTCTCTTCATCCACTGTTAGGAGAGTGTACCATCGGGTGTGATGTATGTATTTGTTATCTGATTGTTATGTATGTCATCGAGATGTGTTGCATGTGACTGATGCATGATTTTATTTATTTCATAGAATTATCATTATTTTTATGATACATGAGTTTCGTAATAAATTGATATGCTATCATTTCATATTAAATTGTTGATATTTGTATATATATTATGAATATTGAAGATTATTTTTATGATTTTTGGGAGTTTCCTACAGGCATATATAGCTACTAATGTGCTTTTATCATATATTTCTTTTAAGAGTAACTTGCTACTTTATGATAGATCTGAAACTTCAGTGGAGGAGATTTTTTCCTCACTTGTGGCCCTACTAAGATGATGTGATTTTTTTATTTAAAAAATATTTAGTGTTGTAAAGATAGAGATTTAAATTCAAAGATTAAAAAATTTATGAATAATAAAATGATGATTTATTTTTTTTATAAATATGATATGTGACAATGTGTATCAAACGGGGACTAGGTATTTTTTAACATGAAATGTGATGACATAGTGATGACATAACTATATGTGTTGCATGAGAGCATAAATGAAGAAAAAATTTGAAGGATCACATCACCTTATATGAGGCAAGCAAAATATCCAAGTACGATGACAATAAAGGAGAGCCCTTGTAGTCTCCCAGAACTCCAAGATATTCTATAAACCAAATAGCATCAAGATATCAATAGAAGCAAAGACATTATGGGATACAAATCAAATGAATAAGATTATCATATTACTCACTACTCCATATTCAATAACCACCACATCATGCTGTAAGGTCAAGAGTAATAAATGTGAGAACTTCCCAAATTTTGAATAGGTAAATATATAGTCTGCAGATCACCCTATAAGTCAAATTTCTAACTCTTTTTATAAAATTAACCAAAAAATTCCAAAACCTAACATATCAATCCCACTGGCCGATCATTGGCTTTGTGGAACTAGTGATTTTCTGACCTCAAAAACTAAAAAAGGTTGTCTTAGGAACTTACAGATGTAGGCAGACGTATATAAAAGCTACAGGCTCCATCGCTCAGGTGAGACCTACAGAAGCAAAAATGCCAGAATCATGAGAGAGCTTGTAGGGAGTGCCTCAACATAAGATATTATCATGTGATAAGAATACAGTTATACATTGAAATGTCTCAAAATTACAGAATAAATATCCATAAACATACATGCTATGCCACTTGAAAAGAAGTGTGACAGAAAGTGTAGATGCTAATTTACCTTCTTTTCATTATGAGTAACATTCATAAAGAATGTAAATTGTATCACAGAACTAAAGAACATAGAAAGTGTTGAGTTTCATTATTAACAATGAGTTGGATAATTGACAAAAAAGGAGAAACCTCATACATACCTTGGCATAAGTCCAAATTATGATATCCTCTTTCATATCAAAATATTATACACATACATACCTTCAGAATCTAGAAATCATCAAATATGTAATTTCAATTTATTGAGCTAAAAGTGTAATTTACAACGTCTGCAGGACTACATATGTACATCAGCGCCTTCATAAACTAGGTGCAGGAGCTTGCATGTAGCGAATACGCAGGTGAAATTTTATTCCTAGTTCATGCCTTTAGAATCAATTTCCTAATAGCAGGTTAGAAGACCCATGTTAGTTTAACCATTTTAAACATATTGGAAGGGTATACCGGACTAAAAGGTTGTTTATCCACCTAAGAATCTCTGCTAATTCATGCAAGCTCTGCAATGATCATTAATGGTTAAGGATGCAAAGCAACACCAGTTACAATATTGTAAAAGATAAAAAAGGAAAGCAAATGCTTCTGAATATATCTTCTGTACTAGAAGTCGTCCAAGGAGAATATCTACTGTATTAGGTTGGATATGATGGCAATAATCTTCGAGTAAATCCGAGCTACTAGAAGCAAATTATAAAGCAACTTGACAAAACCTTTGCAGAGTAGAAAATTCCCATGGAAGATAAATTGCCAAAACTTGAATACTGTTCTAATATTCTCCTTCACCAGATGCAGCAGAACTTGTGGCCGCAAGTCATGACAAAGTAAAACCATACAGACGGCAGACGCCAGACGCCATCTCGGGCAGCCACTTAAGCCACTAAGAGTTAAATGTTCGGTGCATCCACGATAACATTTCATGGCCCTAATTTCGTCGAATCCCTTCAAATTTCACGAAGCCGATGAAACCAAAATGTCTAATAAAAATAAAACACCAAATTGAATGAGCTTCTAAAGGCGATAAATTTACGATTTGCCGTCCGTTTTAAACAACATAGAACCCTAGGATTCGAAAAGATTAAAAAAACAAAAGAAACAAACAAGTCATCAGCTGCAATCAGCAGTGAGTCGCACATTGAAATTCCATTCGTCGTCAGCGATTTCTACACTGAAATAAACCCCCAAAAAAGATAGATATATTTTCAATTCCAAAAAGATTTCCACGAACGCGAGGCTTGCGAGCTTACCATTAGCCAAGGGAGCAGAGGCGGTGGGGATGAAGAAGAGTAGGATTTTAGTGTTTCCGAAGATCAATTCTCCGCCTCCGAACGCAGAGGACGACTGGGAAAGAGACGAAAGGGACCGAGAGACGGAGGGAGAGCAAGAGGCTGACATATTCTTAACTCAAGCCTAACCCTAACCCTAACCTTAACAAAAGGAACTTGTCAGGGGTGATGTCGCCTCTAACATCTAACGCTATTTCGATGTTAGAATACGAATTCTTTCAATCGATTAATTGTAGGAGACCACAATATCTTTCCCGCAAAATAAAAGAATTACCAATTAGATTACATTATTCCCTATTAATTCATGCAAATAATATGACCCAAAATTTTTAGGCGAAATTTATCTTTGTTCACTAGGCATGGTCTAATCATACTTATGACTTGGAAGTATCAAATTGTTCATGTGGCTCTTGGCAGAAGAGAAACTCACTCACGTCTCATGACCATTTAATGTTGATCGAGGCATTTGCAGGTTAGCGGTGGGAGTTGGGACACCGTCTCCATGGCAAGCATTTTGAACCACATCAGCCATGCAAAGGAGTGTTCTTCACTGCGCCACCAAGTCTCTCGTTGATGCACACCACCTCAGCTATCGTTCTCAGCCCGAGTCTTCCTTGGTGGGCTTGTGGTCTCACAGGAGAGTCCGCAATGGTAGATATCAGTCACATAAGTATAGACCAAGGAAAAGTCACAGCATGGAGACGAAGCTTTTCTGTCATGTTCTCAAGCTGGTAGGTGAAACCAGTCGTTACCATCGCCAACCATGATATAAACACAAACATATCATAAGACCACTCACCCTGCTGTTTCAAATCCGATGGGTCTCAGCTTGTGATTTGGCTGGAAACAGTACTTGTATCTCCCAAAAGCCGACTTTTTGTCGTCTCTTCCTTGAGATCCTTTCTTTGTTTGGAGGAGGGAAAGAATGCAAAGTCCTCCTGTTCTCATTCACGAAACACGAGAAGGAAATGTGCCAGAATAAACTGCGATAGACGACATCGTTTGGTCATGCAAGTCAAACTCGAGTTTCTCCAAACTTGAGTTGGATCGAGAAGGTCTATTATGCAGGTGTTGAACACCAGGAACAAGGGATGGTTGGTGAACTTTCGAGTTTATGGGCAACCCAAGGTGGTTACCGAAGAGTTTTTCTCCATCTTCAGCTTTAGTACTTCCTAGTACATAATCTTCCTCTTCCACCAAACCCTTCAGATCATGCTACCTGAAGAACTAACCAACAGGAATTACTGTATTCCAACTGATGGAACACCTTTAGATCACATCTAAAACTCTCTGATGATTATGTCAGAGATGTTGCAATGATTATTACGAAAGCTCATGGTGTGGAAACTTCAAGTCGAGACAGTTGTTTTAGCTCTCGAAAACAAACATTTATTGCAGAAGAGAAGTGATGAAACATCCATGGTGAAAGAGTCACCGAGTGTAGATCTCTATCCATCTTG